GCATTCCTCTTGGTGACGGCACTGCAGCCACACTGGGGAGTCCTGCATACAGCCAAGCCCCGGCGCGGCAGCCCAAGACCTGCAGAGGAGAAGAGCAGAGTCAGCCCTCGAAGGCCATTTACCTCCCGACTCCATCATGACAGCTTTTGTATCTGCGCCGAAGAACGAATACTTTGACTATATTTAGTCCTGGTGGGACTTGGCTCATCCTTGTGTTAAACAGGGAGGGAAGAACCTGCAGAGGAAACCTCCCAAGGGTGTTGTCGGGGGGTGGCTGAGGAGCGGGATGGGGGCACAGCTCCTTCCCCATCCCCCCTAAAGGCAGCACATGCCATCCCCTCCCTAAAGGCAGCATATGGGGCTCAGGGTACCATGGCATCTCCCCCTCCTCTTTCCCAGTGGCAGCACCCAAGGGATGGAGCTGGGGAGGTTTAGCCAAAGTCCTCTGCAGCCCATGGGAGTGGGTCAGCCTGCCCGGCACCTTTTCCCCTCCCATGCAGGGGTAAACCCTCACCCTCCAAATTACCTGTGAGGCTCAGTGCCCTGGGACCCAAGACACTCTTTAACCAGTACATGAGCTCTTTCTGGCCCAAGTGAGGAGCTGGCTGTAATTCAGCAGCACAACCACGCTCAGGAGAACAGGATCAAGCCCACGTCCTGGTCAGGTAGGGTACCCCAGAGAGGGCATGGGGTCCTGTGGCAGCAGTTCATACCTCCCAGCCTGTACTCTCCCACTGCACCCAGGCTGCCTAAGCTGGGTAGCAAGAAAATCCCTCCTGGTTCAGGGCCACAAATCTGGCAGGCTGCTCTGACACCTGGGGAGAAGCATGCGCACAGGAGGGCAGGGAACACGTGCCATGCCAGCTGTGAGGCTGTCACCAGATCACCCTGCAACTCCCACTGTTCCAATCCAGGCTGGATCAGAACCAGCTCCAGTTCCTCCAGCCATGGCTCAGGCATGCCGTCTCCCTTCCCAGAGCGCTCACCCTCAGCTGTTTATATAATAGCGGGTGTTGCTTCCTCTGAGCAATCGAGGTCACTGTTTTGAGGATGGAAACCACAGGGAAGCAAAGGCACGAGTGGGAAGAGAGGGGCT